ATTGAAACTATCACTTGATAAGATTAAGCACAGGTATCTTTAAAAGTGATCAGGATCCTTCAGTGCTGCTTCCTGCTCAAAAAGACCCAAACTAGGACTGTTCCTTGGAAGATCAAGACAACATGGTTGCATCTGCACAAATGCAATCCAGTTCACTCTGTGATTTGTTCCTTACACTTGTATTGCAGCAAGAGACCAAACAGGTAGTGGGCTGTACTGGCAAAAGTGGGGCTACCAGGCCAAGGGAAGGGATTCCTCTTCTAACCCATCCAGCATTCACAGATCATGTCTGCAGCACTGTCTCTGCCTTTGGGCTCCTCAGCACAATTCCACCTGATGGACAAAAAGAGACCAAGACAACCAGGCTGGTTCAGCCTTAAGAGAAGGAAGCAAACTGGAAAAATCACACCGGAATCTTCAAGTTCCTATTTGCAACATGCAGAGGAGGCAGAGCTGGGTTCTCCTCAGAGGCGAGGAACAAATGCAGCTGCATGGGAAATTCTTCTTATGTTGCTGAGAAGTTTTCACCTTGCGTGGTGAGAGTGGATTCTCTAAGGAGAGGTACAGAACTACCACTAGGTGAAATCCAAGATCCCCAGATCCAGGGAAACCCTTCTCTTTCACCCTACATTTTGACATTCACTTACACACTAGCACACACCAGTGACACCAAACAAATACCCCCTTGCTGACACAGATGAAAAGCTCCTAAACCAACAGAACATCCCCAGCAGACAGGGAGAAGTGTTCCACACCACACTGCAAGGAGTTCAGGTCAGACGCTCCCACTTGCTTAGATACAGGTCCCTAGCCTTCTGTGCTCCATTGTGGGCATTCCCCTACTGAAAAAGGATATAAAAAAAGTAGAAATTAACGCTGAATGACAATTCTAAGTCAGTACAAAAGGCCAAACATGCAAGATCAAGTTTACTCCCCCCAAAATCTGATGCTAGACCATGACATTGATGGCAAAAGTACTGTAAGAGCTTGAGCTGTTATTTCTTTCCCTACAAAGCTTTAAGATGTCTCTGAAAACATTCTCCTGAATAAGCTCTGCTCAACAGTAACATGTCTAGAACAGCATGAAAATTCATACAGGGTGACCAAATTGACCTTTCTCAACCTGTTCTGCAACTCCAAGTATTCCACAGGTATTTTCATCCTTGAGTCCTCAGGCAGAGCTTAATGCAAGGTGCTGCTCCTGTCAGTGGATAAAAATGACTGGATATGCTACAGGGGACAGTGTTAATGGTATGGGGGAGGGAGGAATATGAGAAGGAAAAAGAGTTGAAAAGAATATATGAGCTAATCATGAACTTCAATTTTGTGCTCAGCACTGTGCTGTGTTATCACTAAATCAGATTAAATTGATCCTTCTCTAAAAAGCTTTCTGTATCATAAGAGCCAAGGTCAAGACAAACAACATGGAATTCCAGTGGAATAGAACAAAGAACAACTGCATTCAACTCTTGCAAACTGGGGCAAAGAAAGTTGCTATGAACTAACTGTGATCAAAGTAAAATTAATCAATGTCATTGCCTAAGGTGCAAAAGAAATCAATAGGGAATGGTGGAAAGTGAATTCACACATGAAGAACTTGCCTTTACAGTTTTCCCAGGTCCAAGTTATTGCAGTTTAAATATTCAATATGCCTTGACCTTCATTACATAGAGAGCAGAAAATCCAGTGAAGCCTCCACCTTCACTTCCCCTCAAACCTTTAGTAAATGTAATCAAAGATGAGATGCAACTTTTTAGACAATAAAAACAAGTCAGATCATAAATTTAAAATAATCTGAGTACTGCATATAACCATTAAGGTAAACATTTTCTTCCTAGTTGAAGACTTAATTCTACCATCACACCTCTGCAGCCTGGAGAATCAGGACTGGTATGTAGAAAGAATGGTGCTGTCATCCAGACTGATCAGTGCTGAAAGAATTCATCTGGAGGCCTGAAAGAAAATGTCTTCATCTCACATGTTCTGGATGAGGACCACACTTTTCCACAGCTCTCAACACGATTTAGCAAGAAAAGTTATTTTACCTGGTACCAGGCAATGTTTAGCCAAACCTACAAAAAAATCTGCAAGTGGCAGGACTGCTTCCTACAGCAGCAGAGGGATGCAACAGACTGATAAAGCAAAACCCCCTGACAGGGTGAACTGACAAGCTCCAGACATCTCAAGCAAAAAAGGTGAACAGAACAAAGATATTTGCTTATCCTCAACTCCCATTTGAACCAGCAGGCATTGTGAGCCACAAAAAGAAGAGAAATAACAGAAAGTGTTATTCTGTTCTAAATACTCAGGAGGCAGATCTACACATGCAACCTGAGGATGGACTTTCAAGAGGTATCTACAAAGGAGCAGCTTTATGGTGGATGAAAACATTGTCACTCAGCTGATGTCCTTCTATACTGCTGGATTAGTTTACAGAAGTTCAGGGCTTAATTATTTCGACTCTTCAAGAGAAAAGCATCAGCAAAGAAAAATCCACAGAATCTTGGCAGCTCCACATCCTGAACAGTTTTCTGTTGGTTTTTCATCTAGCTCTGACTCACCCAACATTCTGGAAACCCAAGGAGTCCTGTGCTTCGGAGCGCTCCCGAGCCCCGCGGCTGTTTCAGAGGCGTGCCTGTACCTCAACCAGCAGTCACCCGAAAGTAATGATTCATCACAGACACTGTGCTGCACTCTCACTTGTGCCTTCTGCCTAGAAGTTCATTTTATTGACTCCTGGCTTTGAAAAGGCTACAGAAAACAGAGCTAATCTCTGCGCTTTTCCGCTGCGCCACACCTCGCCTTCCTAGCGGGAGAAGGGACAGCTGGAGGCCAGCCTGCTTCAATTACTTTGTGGTCTCTAACAATCCTCCTTCACAAAACCATTTCAAAGTACTAAAATCCCATCTAATAACTTGTCACTAAGGGCACACACCTGAATTCTGAAAGCCCAGCTGAGATAAATGATCTGTCATGAATATTTTATGTGCCTCTCTCCGCAGAAAGTAACCGCAAATCATGAGAGCAAGAAATTCTTTCCTTCTTTCAGCAATATTTCTCACAAAATAATGGACTTGAGAATTAAACATGTCTGGATTTTATTCAAGTGGTGGGACTTGGTTATTGAATAGGATTTGGCAAAGACAAAGGAAACCTAGAAGGGAACAAGTGATGCCAGCTGTTACCTTGTGGATTTTCTCCCCAGATTCCAGCAGGCACCAAAGGTCTGTGCCTTGCCCCTAATCCCCATGGATATGCTGACAGTATCATTTACGCACACTGGGGGGGGCTTTTTGCAATGCTTCTGCAGTGGAGTTTGCCTGTCTGCCTATTCACAGGACAGCAAATCAGTACAGATGGGGGATAACCCACCAGAGGCACAGCCCACCCCTCTTAAGTCTCTCTTGCCATTACCAAAGCTTTAACATTTGCTAAATTAAAAAATCTCTGCTGTGCTGCCAAGAAGAAGACATGTTAGCCAAGGGGACTGCACAGGGTGTGAAGCCAAAGGGGTTTGCTGGAGGCTACAGGCAGGGGTGGATTTCTTTGCCAGGCATAAGGTGTCACAAGTCAAATCTGCCTTCTTTGAAAGACATCCTTGTTCTATGTGAGGAGCCTGGAACACAGTTTGAGGAAAGGCCTCCTCCTACTGGCCAACCCAAATGCTCCTCAAGGCAGGAGAGATGGGAGAGGGAGCCAAGCAATGAAAGCAAACCTCCAAATCAATTTTGATAAAACTGTTTGAAGAGCTCCAGTGAGTTTTGCCACATGGAAAATAAAAGAGAAGTCTTTTGCCTTGGTTTACTACACCCTGCCAGAATTTGAATGAACCACGGTATGACCTTTGCTGCCTCTCATCCAAGCCCTAAACTTCCCTCTCCAAAGAGTAACACAAGAATTTTGCTGTTAGCCATGAAAGAGGGTCAGCTCTGACCTCCTGACCAGGGTCCATCAAGCTAAGGACCACATCACTACCACGAGGTGAAGGTGACAGCTTTAGTGCAGAACATCAACCACTATTTTCTCACATTCACAAAGACACTGGCCATGCCTTCACCTGCAGTGCTAATTTCAACAAAAGCTGGTGCTTCACACAAGCTGTGATCAATCAAATGCACACAGAGCCTCCTGGAGAGACCCTTCCCCATGGGATCCTCAGGCATCAAGATACTTTGGCTGTTGTCCAGAGCAAGTGATGAATAATTGTAAGAAATTATTTGTTAAGATACAAACCCCTTTGTTTTTAACATCTTTACAGGAACCAAGTTAATACAGTTCCTCTGTCATCCTATTCTCCCTCAGAGGGAATGGAAAGAAATTTCATCTGGAAATCCAGGTGGCTGAGCCCAGTAACTCTTCCTCCTGAATCCCCACATAAATAAACATTTATATTCAGAATTTTCTATTTTAGAAAACCAGAATAATTTGCCTTTTTTTTTTAAGCTTGGTACCATGTTTCTTTAATGTTGTTGTGAGATACTGCACCCATCTTTCAGCATTTGATTGCCTCAGGTGATCTTTTTAAAATGGTCCTATGGTTCAAAGCTCTCAGAAGCGTGGTATTAAGGCATAGAACGTGAGGAGTTTTCTTTCCAGGGAGCAGATTGTATTTATATTACATTCCTTTAGATTCTGAACTGCAAATCCCATCCCCTTGGAGCCAAAAGGGGAAAAGATAGTTAAAAATATCCCAGCAGTCATACAATCAGTTGTCTGTATTTTTTTTGAATCTTAAAAAAAAAAAAAAAAGAAAAAAAAAGAAAAAAAAAGGAAAAAAAATCCCATAAGTAGAGACAGAACAGAGTTCCAGATATGGGTTCTTGGGAGGGATTTTCCATTCTTTTTGGCACCTTGTGATTATAACAGCTGTTGTCCTCCCATTGAAAAAAATCTGCCTTTAAAAAGAGCTCTTTATCAGCTGTGTTTTGAGCTGTTACAGTTGCGGTTGGTTTCCTGTGAAAGCTGCTTTAGGGCTCCTGCCCTCCCATGCCCACCCCGCTCCTCCCACCGCTTCTTCATTCACTGGTTGCCTGTCCCTGTGGCACTGTGGGTGTGATGACAGCAGCCTGGGCTGGCCCTGCTGCACTGGGCTCCTCCAGCCGTGCTCTCTTCACCTCGGGCTCGCTGTTGGACGCTGCTGCCGCCGTCTCTTCGGTCCCTGCCTCGCACACCCGGCTCACCACAACAGGGGTGGACGAGCTGGCCTGGGCTGCAAGGAGCTGCAGAGGGTTTGTGAGAGCTGGCAAGGAAGATAAGAAAGAGAAGCACAATTAGTGGGGTGACACAGAGCAAGTGTTTGCTATTCCAGGCAATGCAAGAAAAGAAAATCCCACTGTTCAGTACAACAGCTGGCACAGGGTCAAGTGTTGCTTCCCAGTGCATTTTGAAAGCCTGGCTTGCCTTGTCGTTCCCTCTCCCTCCATAACCTCAGCTTTTCAAGTTTACCAAACCAGCAACAACTCCTCTCACAGGAGAACTTCCTGCTTCCCCTGCACTATCAACCAAAGCATTGCTAGCTAAGTATTCAGGGGAGGATCAAGCTCTAGCTAAAATTACAACACATCTCTTTGAGAGGCAGTTCTGACTGTAGGTGGCCAGAGAATTTCTCATGAACTCCAACATCCATGTGCTGGGCTTTGTATTTGGAGGTTTAGAGTCTCTCTTGAGCCCTGCTCACACAGGAAGAACAATCCAGGCTGTTGGGAAATAGAATCCAAATATTGAGTGTACTGACGTCCCACTTGTAAAAGGGGCAGGAAAAAGCTTACCCCAGACAACCACATGTGCTCCCATCAGAACTGGGATCAGAACAAAGGAATTTCTGGCTTCCAATCTTCTATTGCATTACTGACACAAGGTCTCACCCTCCCATTAATAAAAGTGGTAAGAAAAAACATTATTTAAGTAGCAACCCTCTGTAAAAATGTCTACAATTCCTAGTTCCAGACAGAGAATGTGCTTACACACTGACTTTGGCACACACCACTGCTTGGAAAACAAAACACATGCAGTTTTTGGACTCTGCATCAATCAGAGAGGAAGCCAAAGGGGACTCAGGAAACAGCACATCCTCTGCCCTCCAGACTCATTTGCAAAGGATGGAATGACTGAACATCAGTGCTGTGTTCACTGCTAAATGCATGAAAAAGGAGCCCTAGGATAAATAAACAAAGCCAACAGAACAAAGGCCCTCAAAGCCCAATAACTTCTACCAAGGCGTGAGAAGAAAGCTGTAGAGTATCAAGAGGATGAAGGGAGAAAATAGGGCATAGATGAGGGCAGTCAGCAATTACAGCTTAGTGACTTAGAGAACCTAAATCATGCAATTGAAGAGAACTTAACTTAGTACAGATGAGAGTCAAGAGACTCAGGCTTTGTTTTGTGAACTAGAAAATTTACTGCCACTTACAAAAAAACTCAGATGCAACTGGAATACTTCCCATTTGGTGAGAGATAAAAAGTCTGGTGAGATTAAAATATTTTAACATAAAAATGTTAAATAAAAAATCGTCTGATTCTATATTAGACAAATGCTAATGCTGGTTAGCAGAAGCTTGACCTATCTGATCTATTAATATTGTCTAATAATTGGAGAAAAACCTTATTACTGTATTTTTTTCATAGTTCCAAAGTAATTCTTGCAACTGAAGAGCATGCCAGGTGATAACTGTGAAGAGATGTGGCAGAAAATTCTGTAGAAACATTCCTACCTTCATGAAAGGCCTCCAAAGCCCAGCAGTGCCCTTCATTTCAAACTCCCAAAAGCACCACCCTGAGGCAGCAGAAGTGCTTGGCCTCTCAGACAAAAAAGCCATAAGAAACCTGGATATTCCCATCCCAACTGAATAAAATCTGAGGTGCTGAGCAAGCAAGAGGAGGCTGCCAAGACATGGCTTGTATGGAATTTCAAAAAACCATGCTTGACAAATGACTAGAACACATCCTGTGTATACAAAAATCCTACATTCATTCACCTGGTGAAATAGATCTTGTTTCTCTCAGGCTCTAAGATTGTAAGATGGGAAAGTATGTTATTTTCTATTTACTCTACCAAGTCATGTTTCACAAGATCTACAGAGCACCATGGAAATTTTATTATTTGGCATGCTGCAAGCAAAGGCTGTTGATCAGAAGAAAATAAATGAAAACAGGCTTTCCACAAGAATCACTAACACTTTCAACAAGTAACCTCAAGAGGTGGAGAGTCTCAGTACTAATAACTGCATAGCCAAGGGCAAAGGAAGGACAGAGAGCAGGGCTTTTCCCCCAGGAGAGGCAGCAGAGGTGGACAGAAGGGAACCTCCCCCTGATTTACAGCTCTAGAAATGGAAAAATTGCAATATCTTTGAGCTGGACACATGGAACAACTTGACACACAGAAACAAGAGGAGAAACCCTTGCAGCTTTCCCCCCTGGCGGTGGGCTGGGGGAGCAGGGGCAGGCAGAAGTGGGGAGCAGACCCACCGTAGGCGCTGCCGGCGATGCTGTTGGTGGGCACGGCGTGTTTGCCGTTCTGGGTCACTGCCCGCACTGGGAGCTGGTGCTGCCCCAGGGCCACGGGGGCTGCCTGCTGCAGGATGGTGACAGTCTGACCAGGGACACCCTGGGCCATCTGGCTGGCCACTGTCTGGATGACACGGCTGGCCGTGGGGATGGTGGCAAACGCGATCGTCGGCTTCTCGTCCATGCCTGCGGGAGGGCAGAAAGAACAAGGATCAGTCACTGCCCTGGCTTAGAGGCAGGTTTTATTCTCATTAACCCAGGGATTAATGAGAATTAATTAGCAGGGATACACATCCCAGGATTACAATACCTCAGGCACCACAGAAGGTCAGGGATGAGTATTTGGAAACATTAAAATATTCTCTATTGTACATTTACTCTATCAATATTAAAAACGTTTTTCCCACAGCATAAGCCACAAGAAAAATTGAAAAAAATCAAACCCATCAATTTGACCTTTTGCCCTAAAAAGGCATCACCTCCCTTATTGGCACATCACAGCTGTGATATGGACAGCAAGCACTGCAAATCTCATAGCTTACTTCGCAATTTCAAACAAACCGGCCTGACTTTCAATACCACACAGCAGGAGAAGGCATTAAGATCTTAAACAATGCCTGGAGCCAAAAGTCTGCAGCAGCTTGCTGTCAGGCCTGCATGGAGGCTGATTTACAAGGAGGTCTTCCCACAATTGCCAGATTTTGCTGTGGAAGTACAGAGAAAAAACAGGATGGAGAAAAAATAAAAAGGAGAGCAGAGTTTCTGGACAGAGGTAACTGCTTGAGAGCACTAAAGCACTTTTCTCACTTCCCAGGATAAGTAAGGGGTCAATTCAGCAGGTATGCCACAGATACAGGACAGCATCCTGCCAGGCAGCAGGAAAGGAGAGGAGCCACTCTTCCAGGGGCTCTGTGGGTCTCAAAGGACAGAGGGCAGGAAGCACAATCTCATTAGTCCTGTAGGAAAAGAAGGCCTCTCCCATTTCAACACTTGCACACAACAAGAGGAATTGGATGTGACATCAGCACTGAGGTGAAACCTGCAGGCAAGCTGATGGCAATGGGGAGAGAAAAGGCAAGGAAAGGAAGGAGTTCAGGAAGGAAAATGCAGCAAACAGGGAAAGTAGAGACAAGAAAAGGATATGAGTGAGACAAGTAGGGAAAGAACAGGCAACAGCAAGAACCAGTGAATGAAAGAAGGGAGCAGGTGACAGGCAGCTGCAACTTAGTGCTTCAGGAACATGCATGGGATCCAGACAGGAATTTCTACAGAATGCAAGTGAAACTCAAGCAAGATAACCAGTGCTGAACTAAAAATGCCAGGGGTCCTGCTGTTGCAAGAGGGGAAGCTCTTTGTCATTTTTTCCTTCCCTTAGAGAGAGGGACCATTGTCCCTCTGCCCACATAAAAGCAGTCACAGAAACCAGCCTTACTGCTGCTACAACAGACACTGACCTTGTAGCACAAGGACCTTCTGAAATGGGGAGCAGACAAGGTGTTGTCTAGATCACAGCAAGAGAATATTTAACTCACTAAATCCCCCAAGGCTTGAATTTCCAGCTTTGGGACAAAAAAAGGCCTTTGTTCTAACTGGTTTTTGAAGATTGCTTTAATGGGGCACTGCCTGCACTTCCAGAAGCACATGCTTTCCTCTAGGAATCCAGACCTGCAGAAAAGAAGGGCTCAATCATTTATTTACAAAACCATCCTGAAGCAGAGTTGCAGCCTTTCCCAGGCTCTCTCTTTTGGCTGGAAAGTGCACATGCTTTCATAGCCAACACACAGGCATAATGCTGGTATTGGGGATAATCACAAAAGCATGGAGAGACAGGACAAAGGAGAATGGCTTCAAGCTGAAACACCAGGTATAGATGAGATATTGGGAAGAAATTCTTCCATGTGGAGGTGGGGAGGCCCTGGCATGGGCTGCCCAGAGCAGCTGTGGCTGCTCCATCCCTGAAGTGTCCAAGACCAGGCTGGATGGGGCTTGGAACACCCTGGAATAGTGGAAGGTGTCCCTGCCCATGGCAGGGGGATTGAAATGAGATGATCTTCAAAGTACCCTCCAATCCAGATCATTCTATGATTCTATGGTAATAAGCAAATTTTAAGCACTGCATGTTTTCTCAGGCTCTGAAGTCTGTTAGTTTTGTTCCCCAGGAGACGAGGGAACACAGTTATTCTGCTCTCTGGTGGAGACAAAAAATGGATGAGCTCTCATTTGGTTTAAGCTTTACCTGGAGAAACATCTTTTTTAATGGCTCAGTGCCCAGTGAGTGAAAACCTTCAAGACCTATTAGCAGAGTAGCAAGGGAGGTGAACGCTACCTCGGTGGTCAGCAGCTAAGTCCAACACTGCTCCTGCAGCTTCATGAGCTCCTCCTGCTGTGCCCTGGTTTGTGAGGATGTATCCATTTGCAGAGTTTGCAGAGGAGGTCACCACTCGGACCATGGTGACAGTGGGGGCTTGCTGAACGACGTGGATTGCGTGGCACGAGGGCTGCTGGGAGGTCACTATGGATGCTGGCATGTAGGCCACTGGCTTGGCCACCAGGGTGGATGGTCGGGGAGGAACAGCCATAATCACTGGCTGGGCACTCACTGGAGACCCTGAACAGAAAAGAGAAGCACAAGTTAACAGGAGAGGTGAAAAGATCCCCATTTATTTCATCTGTGCACTTCCAGCCTACTCAGTGCTGTACCATTAGCAGGAATGGAGGTAGAAACAAACAAACAAAATCAAGTCTTCAAAAATACCACCCTCAAACTTCTCCTTCCTCATGTACAAAATCCCTACTTGTCATCTGAGCACATTTCTGTGAATAAAAGCCATAATAAACATAAGAAAATACCCCAAACCAAGTTTTCTTTAATGAGCTTTGCCTTCCAACCTCACCCTACACCTCAGGTCAGCACAGCTGACAATCAGATATTTACCAGGTCCTGGCCACAGCAGCAGAGCTTGGTGTAGCCAAGCTGATCTTATCCAGAGGCTGGTAAATGAGAGAAGTGAGCTGTGTTGCCATGGCTACTTTGCTGTCAGATCTTTACAGCCACCTAGCTCAAGGTTAGATCAGTTGTCTCTGCACATTCTGCCCCTCATCCAAAGAGGAGTCAGGAAAATGGTTTGAAGTTGTACTTGCACCATCAGTCTCTAACAACAAAGTGGAGAGAGAGTCTTGGATCATCCAAAAAACCACTGCAGAAGCCTTCCTGTGGTGTCCTCAGCATGGCACGTGGGGCAAGTGAACAGCAGGCTCTGGAACAGGAGCTACTCACCGGGCGCGCTCTGGGAATAGCGATACTCTGGAACTGAGGCCAACTTTGAGCCAAAGTCGTGATCGTGTGGAATGGGTGAGCCCTCCCGTGACAGGCACTCTGGAGTCTGTAGGCCACTAGAGTGAGGGGACAGCAGGCCAGGGTGAGTAGGGGAGGCAGGAGCACTCCTGAAACACCAAAACACAGCGTTGGCAAGTGCAGATGTATTTTGACCACGAGACAGCAGCAGAGACCCAGAGTTCTGTCCAGGAGAGGATTCTCTAGGAAGGACAGCCTTTCCTCCACACCACCCACTGCAGTCCTGCTGGGAAGAGCTGAAAGGTACACAGGGACCCCACAAACACTCCAGATCCAAATACTGTTGTGTTATTCCTTGCTGAAGGAAACTGGACCCTTCAGATTTCATTGTTAGACCCACTGCTGACAGAGAATCCCCAAATGCTGCACACCCAGATCAATTTTACAACTTCAAGTCATTCTCAAAAAACCTGTGTCAGAGTTTGAGAGTGGCAGGGAGAAGAAGAAAGATGCAAGCAGAGGCAAATGACTGGCCCTGCACATGCTTGCAGAGCAGTTGCTTCCCCTTCTCCCTGTTGCCTCCCTTCACAACCACTTGGTTCCCACCTCTGGTCCCAAACACGTGAGGAATTGTACATTTCTTTATTGACAAACCAGAATAAAAAGCTGAAAAATTCTCCTCCTGTTTCCCCCACATTTTAACAGAGAAAATAGGAGGTGTGGGAGGAATGTTCCATGAAATTGCTACAGCTAGTGCTGAATTCCAAGTCTTCTCCTCACAGCTACAGGGCTCAAAGAAGCTGTCAGTGCACAAGGCAGTGGAGCTGACTGGAGCAGCCGCACAGAACTCCTGCTGCTCCACTGCTGACAACCACCACCAACCTGATCTCCCTATAGGAGACTGTTTTAAATACCACAGAAGTTATTCCCACTATGATCTAATCCACATCTAAACACAGCTTTCCTGAAATCAGAGATTGGCATCTGAAAACACTCAGTCCAGTGATAACTGCTTTGAATTTCTTTGAAATGATGCCAAAACAGATACGTTATTTGATGCATTTTTGTAGTTGGCTTCTGGATTTTTTTTCTGTTAAACACTTAAGAAGTCAGAACAATTTTCAGATTATGCCTCAGGACTAACTATATCACCTCTCAAACTATAAACAGAAGCAAAGTATACTCACTGTACTTCAGGAGAAGTTTTAGTTTATTTTCTTTGTAATGAGTTTGGCACAGAGATGAGAGGAAATTGAAGTTACCTGGAGGAGAGAGGCCCAAAAGGTGTTCGGAAGCAGGACACTCCTCTTTGCCTTCTTTTTCTAAATGCTTGTTCTACAAGTTTGGCTTCAGAGGCAGGGTCAATCCTCCAAAAGGAGCCTTTTCCAGGCTCCTCTTGGGAGCGTGGGACTTTAATAAAGTAACGGTTCAAGGAGAGGTTGTGCCGAATGGAATTCTGCAGGAAGCACAGGAACGAGCTGATTATTTTGCCACGAAGTAACAAAGACAAATGAGTTGCACCACACAGCTTGGAAAAATAAATCCACACAGCCAGAATCAGTGTTGAAGGTAGAAACAAGTCACTCAACTCACACAGCTCCAAAGTCGCAGGAGAACAGCAGGAGAAAACCTGGGGGCAAGTGTCAGAATTTCTCCTGACCAAGCTGAAAGATAATTTTGCTTGGTACCAACCATTACTTAAATACATCTGGAGCCAGAGCAGTGACTTCTCTGTGGAAAGCCATGAAAGCAGAGCTTTTGCTGAGGCAGGGGGAAATCACTGTAAACCACATCAGAACTCTCTCAAAAGACAGGCTTTATTCTTGGCAAGTGGAAAAAGTTGCCTGAGCCTGTGCTAACTGCTCACCTGCCAAACGATTACCAGGGTGCCCAAACATGCCCTAGAGGACACTGCATCTCACAGTAATCACAAAGCAAGGCAGCCAACATGCCCTCAGCCAGCTCTGGGAGGAATCCATGAGCTCTGTGGCACTCTGCAGCTCTCTGGATGATGACAAGACTGTTTATCCTTTCCATTGTAACAGCCCACCCCTTACAGGGTGTAGGGCTGCCTTTTGGGCTGGGGAAGGGCTCAGCAAGCCTCTGTGTGCACAAACTCGTCCCTCTTCCACTTTCAAAACAAAACCTAAGCTTCTCTAGAAGGTTTAGACAATCTCTTCACTGGTGAAGCCTCACAATGCCACTGGAGGGGAGAGAAAAAGGCAACTTCACTCCCTGCTGAAATGCAGCTCTCTGAAGCAGGATGCAGCAAGCGGTTCACAAAGCACAGCTCTGCTGAGCAGGTTAGGGCAGGAAGTGAATTCCACAATTAATTAGAACTGCAGGGAAAAGCCAGGGAGGCAGAAATGTATTTATTCCAACTGCACTCAAAGTGCACCAAGCAGTGCTGCTCCTGCCAGTTGCACACAGTGAAATCAGCAGCTGCAAGAGCCTTTGCAGCTGTACTAGTGTATTACATTCAAATGGCAACACCCATGGCAGAGGTGTGATGCCAAGAAAAAGTCTGAAAGCAGGTGGAGTTGAGGTTCTTGAACCTTTGGAAGCAGCCCTCAAGTGAACACTGAAGTTTGATTTAGCACGTGTTAACTACATCCAAACTCTCCTCTGAAGCTGGTCAGGTTTCCTTGAGTACCACAAAGAGTCCATGGACTCCCATTTTCCCAAGTTCCCACTCAAATTCAGAACTTACAAACTGTGACTTAGGCAATGCAGCTGATACACTGGGAAAACAAAACATCTGTAATGATTTAAGGTGCTATGATTAAAAACTGGAGCCTCAGTTTTAGGCTGGATATCCCTGGATATCCTCTGCTTGGAGAAATCATGTCAAAGATGAGGTGAAGGATTAAGCAAATATCTGGGCAGAGGAGTGACTGATAGCAAGGATGTAGGGAAATAAAATACAAAATGAAAGACACATGACTACAGCATTAAAAGAGGAACTAGAGAGCCCAACAGTAACACACTACATTGCCCTACAAAGTATTCAAAAAACCCCCAAGAAAACTAATCACCCACAAATGAACTAGTCAGCTGTGTTAAACAAATTCACTCTGGGAACAGTCAAAGCAGCTCTATTCCCAGTGCCCCAAATCTTTAATAAATGCATTTCAAAGCAGATAAGCCATGTCAAAGTAGTTTAAAAGCTTGTCAGTGTCAAGAACTCACCTGCCAGCCTTTGTCAGCAGTCCTGTAATATGGATAATGCTTGGTAATGTGGGCATAGATCCCACTTAGTGTTAATTGCCTGTCCTGTGCTGAAGATATAGCCTGCACAATGAGCTGAGCATAAGAATAGGGTGGCTTGGATTCATCCTAAGCAAGGAAAAAAAACCAAAAAAAATTTAGTTACTAACAAAGAATTCCTACGATGCAGTGTACCACAATCCAAATTTAAAAAGCACATTGGGCTGTAATTTTCACTGATGCCAAGAGAGCAGCAGGGCAGCTAAGACAGCATCAGGTCTCCCATGGCTGTTTTATGCTGCCACCACCCCATTTTGCACAAGCATTTGTGTTCAAACAGAGCTACAGGGCTGAGTCAGATCAAAGTATCTCCTTCCATCTCCCCACAAACACACATAAATCCCAACTTCAATCTGATTCCATTCCCCACTGACTGTCCCACACATGCTTGCACCAGCACAAGGAAAGGGGTCAAGACAGGCAATTGGAATCAAGAAATAGAGTATGGGTACATTCACTGCTTTCTGTGCTCATGAATTAAAGCCTTCAGTTCTGCCCAGCTGCAGCTCCACTCTGCTAGAAAGGTTTGAGGCTGTATGTTATCAGCCCTCCTCCCAGCAACAAGCCCAACATGAAACCTGATCCCATCCCTTCCCTTCTCCAGCAGGATTTGTTTCATTCTAGGAACTTTAATTTGTTTGCTAGATCTCGTATTTCCAACTCTTCACATTACTCCATCAAGAACAACCCTTCTTGTCTCAAGGGAGAATTAAATCTACAAAAAAAGCCACCTAGTAGTGTGCTCCTCCACCCAATCCCAAATCAGGTGGTTTTGGATATGGAACTTTTAACTTTGATCTGAAGATCAGCTCACCAAAATTACATTTTATCACTCTAACCAAGTTATTTTTTAATCTAGATTCCACTTGCCACTCTCCTCATTTAACGCCTACTTGACAGGCCTTCATGTTTGTTTTAAAGTCTGACTACAGACTTCTCATGACAAGGATCTGGCTTCTTCCCCTGCTTCTGCTTTCTCCAACTGTGTTTTGCAAAATACCATTAATTAAAAGAAGAAAATGAGATGCTGAATTTTATGTGCCTCTTTATGGGATCTTGATTTATCAAATAAGCAAAAATATTATTCTTGCCTAAACACTTCAGTGAGTGATTTGAATACATTTTAGGCAGCTAAACAAGCAGAGACTACCACTAAGCCAAGCACAGCTGGAAGGAATGACCTCCACCCCCTGCAGGACACTGTACACAGCACCCTTATGGCCAGAGTGTTCTCAAACCCCTTTAAACTCTAACCAGGACTAGCAATAAAGCCCCAGGCTTTAATAATCCTCCCCTGGAGCAGTGCTGGGTAAGAAATGTTTGTGTGAACCTTTGGGCTGTCCCCGCCAGATGCATCTGCCTGCTGCTCTGAGGCTGCCTTCGCCGCATACTCTGCTGCCAGCTGCAGATCCGAGGTAATGTTGTGAACAAAACGATATCCTGAGGATCCAGCACCACGTGGACTGGCTGGGCAGGAGTTGGGAACACTGGAGAGGCAAAAAAAAAAATCAAAAATAAATACAGTTATTATTTCATTTATTAGCAAGGCATGCAGTTGTTACTCCCGAAGGTACAGTAAAGCTCTCTGGTCATGGAGAAGCAGATGCAACTTTTGCCCCTGTGGCTTATCCAAAGCCCAGACAGACTGAGAAAAAAATCCACCAGAGATAAAATTGGAATTTCTACAAAATCCTGACACTCCCTGCCATATACACTTCCTGCAATCACGACAGAGCAGCGTTTCAAAGTATTAAACAACTCCTTTGTGTTTAGAGAAGCACTTCAAACTTCAAACAACATACAGTGTATGAGGGATGAATATTTAGGTAAAGGGATAGTTTGTTAGTATGACTTGTTAAGGAACAACACACCAACCTCCTTGTAACACAGATCATAGTTAATCAATCCTTCTAAGGACACTTCTACAGCATCAGAACTAAAGCACCCAGGGCAGGGATCTGCCATGAAGGTCCCTGACATCACATCTGAGCTCCACAAGCCTTTCCCTGACACCAAACAGCTGGAGACAGGCGTTTCCTTGATTCACCCCACACCCATGCACCCAGCAAAGGGGAGCTGCACTCACTGCCTGCACACAGAGGCAGCCCAGCATCAGTTCTGGCTGGAAAAGGCACATTCAGAGTGGCAGGGCCACCACAAGATGGCATTGCAGGAACGGTGACTGAGCACCACAGGCTATGAAAGGTGATAAAATGCTACAAACACATAAAAGGGGGCCATAATTTGCAACATCACTCAGGCGCACAGAAATGAGTGCTGCAAGATGAGAACTAATTAGAAAGGCTTGTCTAGGGATCACACGTTCTTGATTTTTAGGGTTGGAAGAATCAAAGAATGGTTTGGACTGGAAGAGCCCTTAAAGATCACCTTGTTCCAGCCCCCTGCCATGGGCAGGCACACCTCCCACTGGACCAGGTTTTTCCAAGCCCTATCCAAACTGGCCTGGAAGGATGGGAGGAGAGGGATAAGTCTGGGAAGCTGAAGTTCCCTTTCTGTGTCTCTCCCTGTCCTGTGCTGTCCAGAATTGAGGGATTCAGTGCCAGAACAGCAGGATGCACAGCCAAATCCCAGGATTACAAATGTCTTCTAGGAGCAGAGAAACAGTAAACAAGAAAGCAAACCAATACACAGAAGATTTACATAGCAAAACAAGCCGTTCAAATGGTATGAAAAGATGCAAATTGAAGCTCACAGCTGGAACTAGAATTCAGTAAAACTGGCATAAACAATCCTCTTACTGGTGAAATGCCCAATAACTGACAAACAAATGCTGACACTCATCACAGCACTGCACCAAATGCTGTAGGAAAAAACCCTGAACATGGTCCCTTCCTCAAAAGGTGACTGGCTGGATAGCTTCTCCTACATAGACACAGGGATGGAGAGGAAGCAGTGAGACAACCCCTCTTTGCTCAGTGGGCAATACTTTATGTGCAGAAGCAATTTGGCAGTGTAAGGAATGAGCATTTCCTACCACAGTCCAGCCTGTAAACTGAGAAGTGCTGCTACTCCTTGTGGTGTCTCTGCAAATGGCTGCAGTGCTGAGCTCAGCACAACCCAGACTGGTTTCTTTTAAAAGTGAATTTCAGAATGGGGGAGCTGGGGGCAGAGAAAAGGCAGAAGAAATATCCAGCAACAACAAACCCTTGAAACAGGGAACCCAAGCTCACTCCTGCCCCATATACCAGCCTTGTACAAACCCTGGTAACCCTTTCAGTGCCCCCCACTAGTGCTGGGCATTCATGGGTGATGCTGTTCAGCAGCACAGCAGAAGGTAAAGCTTTCAGGTAGTGCAAGGTATAAAATGTTGATGAGCCCATACTTACAAATCTCCCTTTGCCAGAGATAAAGGCATTTCCTGCCCAGCCTTTCAAAGAGCAGAGACCTATTTGTGCAGGAAAATGAATGAAAATTTCCTACTCCAAGCTTTGGAAGTGGGTAATACTAAACCACAGAAGACACTCTTGATGTCTTAGTATTCACATGAGGAGCTGGTGTGAATTTAATTATTCTGCTGTCACTTTTCCATAGCTTCTTCACATACACACTTCTTATAACGTGCAGATAATTACAACTGAAAGCCATTTTCATACATGAAACAATGACAAACTAAAACCACAGTGATTGTTTTTGTGTTTGGCACCCAAGCAATTATTGTAACACACGGGCTAGAAGTGGAATAGGATGAAACAGTTTTCTGATTTTGTTATTTGTCTGCAGAAATACACAAACAGCAAACCACAGAGACAGCAGCCAAAACTCAGGACAAAGATATGGAAGAAAGAAAAGTTCTCCAATAAATCCATGCTCTGCAGAGCTGTATTTCTTGCCTTCTCTTTTTAATAAATACATAAATAAAAATAGATGAAAGAATTTATTCCTTTATTCAGGATCAGCAGAGCAAGCAGCTCAGTTTTTGCCTCTCCAGCTGTAGCGTCTGAATTTCAAGTATGATCTCTTGCTAAAAAAAAAAAAACAAACAAAGAAAAAACCAAAGGGAGAAACCCATTCCTTGCAGGGCTGTGATTCTCTGGAGTGTTGACAAAGCCCTTCCAAACTAAAGTGTTAATAACTTGTAGAAAAGCCAGGCTCTCCCAGCAGACATTCACTGAAGAACAGGATCATGATCATCCCCTAAAGAAGCAGCTGCCCCCTGGGACAGCCACAGTGATACCACAGATCTGGAAGAGATTAATCTTTTATCAGAATGAAGCTCTTTTGTCCAGGCAGATCTGCTTCCTTTCAGCCTGGATCAATGATCAAATCAAGAGATGTGGGGACAGAACAAACACCAGGTTCGGGCACTCCAAGCACAGACAGGGTAACGCGTGCTGCTGAGTGCTCAAGCTCTCAGTCAATCATCACAGCTCTTCAGAGGGGAGGCAGAAAGAGCTGACTACTGGAAAAAACAAGGAGACACAATCTGTTCCCCTCCCCACATGGGACAGAAGGAGTGAAGAAACAGTTTTACTAAAAATACCCCTCTGAGGGTTAAGTTAAAATTAAACATTAGTGCAGTCAAAAGAAAACAAGCAAACACAATGCAGTGACATCAGTTTCCTGGAGTTCCTGGAATTCTCCTCACCACCCAAAGCCAGGGGCTGGCCGGGGATGCTTGCATGCACTCACACCCCCTTTAAAAATATTATGAAACAAAGAGTTTTCCCTACAAACACCTGTTTGTGCTATAAAGCAAACATCAACTGCAAGGATACCAATAATGATTTGTTGGATATTAACATGGCATCAATACTTGCCCATAACTTGATCCATGTTGATGCTATAACCTTTCACTGAGAAAAGCACCCCTAGGTCTGCAATTTCACCCTGCTCTGACATCCCACCACACTGCTGTGATCCATGCTCACTGTCCAGGCTGGCAAACTCAGCTTACAAGCAATCCAAGCTAATTTGGGTTAGGCTTGCTTGATACTGAAGAGAGCATTTTGGAGAGGAACCAAGTGTTCTGCACCACTGAAAAGCACACAGACCATGGAAATAACCCAGCTGCAGTTACCCACAATCTTAATCCTATGGTACCATGGATAATGCCCCAAGTGCCAGAGATCTTTGATATCCATTGAGGATTCAGCATCTCAACGTGAAACGGTGACTGCAGGCAGCCACTGAGCCACAGCTCTCTAAATACCATGCTGAGAACTCAGCTTTAGAATCAGACTACAACCACGTGCTGAATCACACCAGTCCTCTGCAGCATGTTTTCCATTTCAGACTTAACCCTTCTCTGGCAGGAAAGCCAGCAAGATGAGGGCTGAAGGCAGTGTCTGCAATACACTCACCCATGTAAGTGGCAGGATGCCTTTTAAACACGGGGCTTGAACGTTCTTTGGAACACCACAATTCACTTTCAACTCCTGCCAAGAGGAACCCAGCCTGCAAGTTCACAGCACTTGCTAGCAGCAATTAACTCTAAGCTGCTGGAGAGTGTGTACAATGTGCTGCACTGCTATTGGAATGTCCACAATCAGTTTGTTTAACCAAAGAATCAGCCTGCAAAAATAGGGTGTACCACTGTGTGCATGGGGCATTCACACCAGGACACTGTGTGTTGCTTGTCTACTCTCATTAAAAAAAGAAAGAAAGGAAAAAGGATAGAGCAGATCAAGAGAAGGTACTGACAGGGATAAGCAGGATGATTGGAGATATGGAATGGATTTCACACAAGAAAAAATTGTTAAAGACAGAAGCTGAGGTGCAAGTGACAGAGCTTTAAAAACAAAGCCAACAGGAAGTGTGTAGCTCTTGGCCTCTTGCACCTGAAGAGATGGTGAGCACAAAATGAAACCAAGCAGCACGCCCAAAACAAAAGAAAGTGCTTCTATTTCTGTGGCTACACTGTGGGGTGACTGTGGGGTAAGACAGGGCTGATGAGAAAGGCTGTGTGAATGGAGAAGGCCAGAACACAAATTCTTGGGGAAAGGGAAGGACAGAGAAACCATCAGGGCTTTAGAAGACAGTCATAAGTCCCTGGTCCAAAGCAGTCTCCTATCCAAAAAAATGGAGGCAAACTACACCTAAGTCAGCATTACTCTGGTTTTTATGTTACACAATCCCCAAGATATCCATGTCTGAGGACAGAACACTGCTAGAGGGATCTGTTCCCTGGGCACATTGAGATTCTCACATAAAGATTTCCACAGTCTCTCAATACTAGGCATGTTTTATAGACTAGGCAGTAATAAAAATAAAAATAAAAATGAAGCAACAAGTACTTACATTATTTATTTATGGTCATATTACAAGTCTGTGAACAATCTGGAAACCAAAACACTCCCAAATACCAGTGCCAACTTCCCCAGAAGGAGAGGCAGTAGTACAATGCAGGAAAGTTGCCCTATTACTCAACTGAGGGATCAAGCTATGGAGGCTAAATTTAAACCAGGTATATGGAAAAGCACATATCCTCTCTAAGACAAAGAGGAAAGATTACCTGGGGTCCCATAAA